TCAAGTTTTCCAGTTAGGCCCCCAACATCATAGAGCAAAGACAAGCTGTCTTCACTGTGCACTGTCTGAATTCCTGACTCATGGAAACTGATAGATTTCCATGAGACATAATAAGTAACTTGCTGTTTTAAGCAGGAAGTAATATGCAATCTATAATACAGTCCAATCTATAGGGAGTACATTTTTTTGAGGTTTGTTGGGATAACTCTTTTAAAAGTGAGGAACAAGTTGCTGAACTTGCTACTTCTGTCATGAAAAAGAACAGTACTTCGTGAGTCTCTTTGGATTTGGGAAACACATATATTGAAACTGGGTGTTTTGGCTCAACCAATTTTTGGGAGGACCTGAAAAATGGCCTACATTAAGTGGAGCCCAGAGTAAGAGAAGTTTCTTCTCATTCAGGCTATAGGCAGCTCTATCTTCTGCCCTTATGATTCATTAAGATGATCAGTAGATCAGCAGCATATGAAGATACTGTATAGAGACTCTTAAAAGCCAGTTACAGAACCACCAAGGAGGAAAACAAGGTTTTCAAAGCTATGCTTTCTTTGGTAAGTAACTTTTTCTCCATCTGGACTTGGTGGGGATGAAATCCCTGATCAACCCTCAGTGCTATGGGACCAGAGCTACCCCACATGAACTGAGTGGGGGTCTGCTTGGGGCAGATCGTTAGGGAGCCCTCAACATCAATAACCTTAGGTCTTTTTCTTGTGAGCCAGTTGGAGTCACTGAAGGTTCCCCACCCCAACCCACCCCCAACTTGCTGCCTATACATCTAGGTCGAATATATTCTGGAAAGGTGATTGGGAAATATATAAATTTTCCTATATTGTCGTCCCATTCCCCCCTCCGTTGCCCACAACTGTTCTGATGTCCCTTGTTCAGAGGCCCCTCTGTTTTACCCTCTCGTGAGCATAGTCCTCCAGTCTCCTGCAGAGACAGAAAAGGAGAGTCACCAAACTATAGAGCAGCATAGGGGTGCCGGGAGTCTAACTGCTTCTTCAACAGATTCGCAACCAATATTCCTTTTCTAATATCCCTTTCACTCCCCATTTTTACCTAAGACCAATTTCTTTGCTCTTGGGGATTCTGCAGTGTAAATTGGATTTCTTATCGGCTTTCCCCACTGCCTAAGATGCAGCCTTTTCAGAACTTGTTAGTCTTGTCACTACTGTTTTTCAGTTTCCAAAATTTTGTTTTTCTCTTCTCCATTCAATTTGTCTCTGTGAGTTTATGCCTTTGGTTTTAAATCCCTCTTTCAGCAGTTACGGTGGGATTTTGTGAAGGACTAGAGCTAAATATATGCATTCCATCTCCCCCTTCAACTAGAATTTAAGACCACAGGACAAAGACATGAAAAGCAGAAAAGCCAGGGGATGAGACCCTTCTTTGGTGAAAGTGTGTAGTGTTCCCAGGGAAGGGGGCTGTACACTAGAGCCTCAAAGAAAAGGGCACCTATGGGAGGGGGATTGTGACCACCGTCCTTGGGGACTCCCATGTTGTCAAGTACTTTCTCTTTAAGAGATTGAAAGGTAATTACAATTTTAATTCTGAATTTCGCTTACTCTCCCATAAAAATATCACAAAACTGTACAGTCTGGTTTATTGATCTTGAGGGGGACTTAAGAAAAGCAAACAAAGATGGCTTTGTTCTGTCCCATTGTCTCCCAGGATGGAGAAAGGGTGTTAGCTTTGAGTACCCACCCTTCCTAGTGAAACTGGTAGTCGCAAAGAGACACAGGACCTTGGAGGATTGTCACAAAGAGGGTAAGTGAAGAGGGAATAACCTTTTCTTTACTCACATATTTTAGTGAAGCTTGTTCCTTTGAAGAGAAGGAACGACTCCGGCAAAATGCTGGATTATTTAGGTGGCGTGGCAAGATGATTTATAAACTGAATGAATTCACTAGACTAGAAGCTCAGAGTCAGACATGACTGTGAGTCTGAAAGATAGTTTTAATTGTTATGTATTTGTCTTTTCAGCTGTTTAATTGAAGTGCCTTCTATAGATAGGAAAGTACACAAATTATGAATGTATGACTTGACGAATTGTCTCTGTGCCTAGTTTTAGTTTGTACTAGCAGGAATATAACTAGTACATTAAATATGGAATTTCAAGGATTTTATTGTTTGGAATGAGGGCAGTGTATGCTGGTAAGGCTTGATCACTCACCTTACAAGGACTGCATGACTTACAGGATCATTGCTCATGTACTCAGCAGCTGTCTGATTTGGGTTCTCTCACAAGCAGGCTCTGAGACAAAGATTGGAGTGCAAATAGTTTATTTGGGAAACGGGAAATACCAAGAGGGAAGTAGGGGAAATGAAACAGGGAAAGGAACATAGCCAATAAAAGATATCTAGTAAGCTAACTATCACTGTAGGAGACTGGAGCTTAATCTCACTAAAACTCTGAAAAACTACAAAATGCAAACCTCAGAATTATGTCACCCATTGGGGAGCAGACTGGGCACTCTCTTAGCAACTGCCAAAAGCTGTTGATTGAGGGCTTGTGGAGTGGGTGGTGGGAGGGTAGTCAGTGTTAATTCCTTGACATTTGAGGCAGCCCAGCTTCAGGCACAGAGATGCAGGCACTGGCAGCCAGCATCCGTGGGGGCACACTGGAAGGTCTGAAGGACATGTGTAGGGCACGAACGGCATTGGCTGCTGTAACTAAACTTTCCATCCTAAATGCTTGGAAGCATGGAGAGTATCACGATTCTGAATGCTAGCATGGATTCACTTTGTCAAAAGAAGTATTTTTTACATTAGGAGATGTTGCTAGATTGCTTTCCAAAAGGCTGGTGTACAGTTCTCTCAACAATACATGGAAATATTCTTTCCCTGAATTCCCACCTGCAGTAGCTGTTACAATTCTTATTTTTGCCCAATTTGAGTGTAATGTGGGGCCTACTTATTGTTCTTAATTTGCATGTTTGGCTGTCTTCTCATATACTTGTTGACTATTTGGATGTCTCATCTATGAATTGTCTAATCATATCCTTTGCCTGTTTTCCTGTCAGACTGTTTTTTCTTCCCCCAGCCCCACCACGTTTATGTGGCTGAAGCTCACCTGAAATCAGTAGTTGAAATATTGTCATGGACTGTGGGTGCCCAAACATCAGCTATATGCATTGTTGGCGTTGGACGTGTTGAGTTTAATTGATATTTTAAGTATCTTAAAAGTAACAAAGTGACTTAGCACTATGTTGAAAAAATTGCCATGTTCATAAAAAGGCACAGAAACACAGCAGCATGAAATGTGAAAGAAATTGATGCCTCAAAATAGTCTAAAGAGCTCTCTCACCAAGTATAAAATAAAATTCTAAGCTATAAGAAAGCAGTGTGTATTAATTTAATTGCAATATTTTTCTTTATTGGTGGTACATAAATTATGGTTTATTTAAAAACAAATGATATTTTAGTCAACCAAATATATATTTTGTCTGTCATCTGCTTATAAATGTGTTTTTCATATGCATCATCTGTATATTGACTTTAAGGCATCTTTTGCTTACAAAGGTTTTTAATTTTTATATAATCAAGCATGTTGATTAGGTTTCCAGACTTGATTAAAAACATCTCCCCACTCTCGATTGTGTATGTACTCTTAGCATCACCTGCAAGCTGATTGATGCAGGGCAAGTTACTTCTCCAAACCTCAGTTTTCTTAGCTGCAAAGTGGGAATAATAATAGTACCCATCTTGAGGGGTTGCTATGAGGATTAAATCAGTTAAAATATGTAATGCATATAGAACAAAGCCTCATACTCTGTAAATACTATATCCTAGCATATTAGGCAGCTTGGGCTGCTATAAGAAAAGAGTGGATGGCTTAAACAACAGGAATTAATTTTCTCACAGTTATGCATGCTAGAAGTACCAGATCAAGGCCTAGCAGGGTCAGCTGTTGGAAACTCTCTTCCTAGTTAGTAGATGGCCCCTTATGTTAAATCCCCACATAACCTTTCCTCAATGCCTGCACCTTCGAGAGAGAGAGAGAGAGAGAGAGAGAGAGAGAGAGAGAGAGAGAGAGAGAGAGAGAGAGAGAGAGAGAGAGGAGAGGAGAGAGGAGAGAGAGATAACGATTAGGGCCCTACCCTTATGACCTCATTTAATCTTGATTACTTCCTTACTCCAAATACAGCTTCCCTGGGGTTTAGGGCTTCAACATATGAATTTGGGGGTGGGTGGGTTTCATAAAGCTAGCAACTACCTGGTTTTATTCTATTTTATAAATTGTTGTTTTTGTAAGCTACTAATGTAGAAGTATATTTGGAATGCCATACATCTATTTTGAAGAGACAAACTCTAGCAATAAAACAGCATTGGGGTATAATCGTTGTACATAAGAATGCATGAAAGAACATAAGTGGTGTGTGTGTGTGTGTGTGTGTGTGCGCGCGCGCGCGCGCGCTTAGGTTAAGTTTGTGCACCAAATATGAGCAATGTTTATCTCTTCTTGGTGAGATTATAGGTAATAATTATTTTGCTTTTGTGCATTTTCGGGCATTTCAGAAATATGTATAAGGAATGCAATCAACATTAGAACTTACTGAATACTAGAACAAAAAATCTCGCTGTGAAATTCTTTTGATAGAACACTGGATTCCATTCCATTTTCAGTCTTTTCCACGTACATAGTATTATGAAATATATATGAAATACTATGTGAAAGTGGTATGGCTTCTTTTATATCCATGTTGTTTCGACAAAAAGTGACACACATATGCTTCTCTTCTGCCAAGGTTTGCAAACCTCCACAGAAACATTCGCCTGCCTAGTCTCAGCAGAGGGGACACGGTTCTAGTCAGTAATCTCTGAAGGCAGGAGCACGGGTTCCACCTTCTTCCGCACGAGCGGGGCTGCTTTTCCCTGGGTTCGGATCCCGGGACGCAGCAAACCGCGAGCACCTGGACGCCGGCAGAGAATCCCTGGAAGCGGCCCCGGAGGACGCTGGGAACCACTCCTGGAGGCAGCCGCCGCGCAGGCGCACTGGCCAGGCGGCGCTAAGTGGGAGGATCCCCGCGCCGGGCGGACCCTTGCAGGTCCCGGCGGGAGGGCGAGGGCGTCTGGGCCTAGTCGGTGATAGGGGTGAGTGGGTCTGGGGAGGGGACGAGCAGGAAAGCGCCGTTTCTGCGCCGCCCGCGGTCACCCTTGGCGTCCCGAGCGCTCAGTGCCCTGGTGTCGGGTTCAGACAGGCCGCGCGGGGAGGGCCTGGCGAGGCCAGCCCTGGAGAAAGGAGGGAGAAACAGGATTAGAGGGGTTCTGTGATTGGCCACAGCCGACGAGGGAAGGAGCTGAGATTCAAATCCAGAGCTTTTTTGAATCCAAGTCTCAGACTATTTTGAACATGGTACTACTTAAAGAATTGGGTTTTATTCAAGTCTTTATGTTTCGTGACACCAGCACACTGTTTGGACCATGTGGTCTGTGCATATCCACTGTCTTCATGTACTCTTTGTAAAAAATTTTCAGTGATTGGGCCAAGTTCTAGAATTCCGACCGTGTGGCAGTATTCTAGATCCTTTTGCTGACTTTAATGTTTTCTGCTCAGCCATCATTAGGGGACCGTAGAGAGGTGGCTGCTTAGAATAAATAACTGGAGCTTGCAGCTGCCTGGTAAGGAGACAGATGCAGCTTAAGGTGGGAGTTGTTCCTTGTGAGCCTAGACATTAAAAGGACCAGACTCCCTGGGCTCCTGAGAGTGGAGGACGCCCACGCAGCTGTGAAGCCTCCCGCCAGTTTCCTCATCAAAAGTGGGCAAGCCCCATCAGGACTCTCTGCCTTCTGGGCTGAGGCCAGAGAGTCCCCCAGAAGGAAGTGCTGAGGTCGTCATGCTGCAGCAGCTCCTGATCACCCTGCCCAGCGCACCCAGCGCCTGGGTGAAGCTGCGCCATCCGAAGAAGGCCGAGGACGAGGCGCCCCTGTGGGAGTACATGACTAAAATGTTTGAAGGAGCAGGTGAGAACACACTGATTGGTGTGAGGGAGGAAAAGTAGCATCTTCCGGTGTGAGAAGGAAGGTAGACACCTGAACAGAAGCATCTCTTGGGGAGACAATTGGGTTAAAGGTCTCTGGAGTTCTTGATTATGGCTCTTGGCGTCAGGTTTTCCTGAGTAGTGGTCAGTTCAACCTAAAATCAGTATTTCAGAGTCGTGGCTGTATACGTTATTTCTTTCATCTTCCCTATAGGAATGTGAGTCAGGGAAGACTTGCCTTATTTACAAGACTCTTATTTTACAGTAAGGAAATTTAAATCAAATGAGAGACCTGTCCAGGAACTTGGTAGCCAGGTCAGAAGTAGAAGGCAGAAGGTAAAGTATCAGCTGAGCCTGGAGTATCTTGTGCCAGAAAGCAAAGAAGAGCTCAAACACTAATGGATGTGTATCAGGATGCAACAGCCAGATTCAAGGGGCTTCCACTGGACAGATTTGGGCAGGTTAAGTGTCCAAGATGGTTGTGACACCTTGAATAAATAAAATTTCACAAGTTCATGATGACACTTAAAATAGAGAAAAAAATGGGGGAAAATCCATTTACCAACATTGGAGGTGATTAATACCCTGATTTCTTACTTTGAAAATATATTGTTCTTGGAACCAAGAAATGCATTTACCTTGCTTTTTAGATAATTTCTGGTTGTTGAGGGAAAGCTCTTTACAGAATATACCTTCCAGTAATAAATGTAGAAGGAATGATAGAATATTTTATTGTAAATGAAATAATTGAAAAGTTGATGGAAACAGGATATTCACATGGTATCAAAGTATCACCCACAAAACGCTTGCTAAATGCTAAGGAAAGAACATACTTTTCCAACAGCAAGATCTGGTGGTCACTTTCTTAAACATACGTCCCCATCATGGGGATAACCTGATATTTCTGCCTTTCAGGTAATGTAATATAAAGCTCATGGTGTCACTCATGAAGTATTAATGCCAGAAATACTTAATCTGATCCTAAATTAAACTTAAAGGCTGAATTTCTGGTTTAAAGAAAATACAGGGGATGGGGAAGTAGGATAAAGCCCATCATGAGGGTACAGTCAGAATGTTCTGGTCTCTTAAAAATCCAATGTCATGAAACAAAGGCAAGTACTATTCTAGAGAAAGAGAGACTAGAGATAACAACCACTTTTAATGTGTGAACCTCGATTGGTTCCTGGTTTGAAGAAAATCCAGAATAAAAGACAGTTTGGGAGTTGAGGAAATCTGAATGGACAAAATATTTAGATGATTCTATGGAATTACTGTTAGCTTTCCTAGGTGTGACAAATGGTATTGTGGTTATGCAGGACAAGATCCTTATTTGAAGTATTTGGGAGATGAAGTATCTTGATGTCTGCAACTTTGGAACAGTTCAAAAACATATATAGATGAAGCAAATCTGGCAAATGTTAACAATCGCTGACTGTAGGTGCCAGTCATATGGGTGTTCAATATTCATTATAAAAAATTGGGAAAAAATACAAGGACAATATTCTACGTGCCTTAATTCCTACTTCATTTTTTTAATTAAAGTATCACTGATATACAATCTTACGATTGTTTCACATAAACAACACAGTCGTTTCAACATTCACCCATATTATCAAATCCTCACCCCCTCTTTATCGTCACTGTCTATCAGCATAGTAAGATGTTACAGAGTCATTAATTGTCTTCTCCATGCTGTACTGTCTTCCCTGTGACCTACCTGTATTGCGATTGCAAATTATAGTGCCCCTTAATCCCCTTCTCCCTCCCCACCCACCCTTTCCAACCCCTCCCCTTTATGACCACTAGTCCCTTCTCCATGTCTGTGATCTTTCTCTTCTTAATTGAACACCCTCAATGTTTTCACATAAATTCCTCCTATTTTTTACTAAGGACTGTATAACTCTCTTCCTCTGGGTATTATTTGCTCCCTGGTGTGATACAATGTCCCCAGAATAAATTATAAGGTATTCCTGTCAAAACATTGACCTGAATTTAATCAAACCTGAATTTAATCAAACTGCTGCTATTTTGTTCTTCAGTTTTACTTTGTTTTATATTCCACAGATGAGTGGAATCATTTGGTATTTGTCTTTCTCCACCTGACTTATTTCACTGAGCATAATACCCTCTAGATCTATCCATGTTGTTGCCTACTTCATATTTTTAATACCTCAAATTTAGCCAGTATTTCTTGAGTTCTACGGACCTTCCAGGGTATTATACTTAACACCTTATCAGATGGAGAAAAATGAACCAGACACTTCTACGCATATACTCATACTAATACTCAATTGAGGGAGATAATTATACAAATAAATATAATAGGAGGTGGCCTGAGTTAGATTCCAGAGTAGAGATTTAAAAAAAGTTTTGGGGAGGATGGAAACGGAAGCATTAAGGGTATCCGAGAAAACCTCATTTGAACTGGTCTAGAAGAATACCTCGGTTCTTGACTAAGTAGGACTAGGGAGAGTACTGAGGTGGGTGCTGTCCCGGTAAGTTCAGAGTGGTGGAGATGTGTATGTGGGTGGGTGGGTGCGTCCTGTGGATGAAGGGTGGTATTTAGAGGGAGATACATACCGCTTGGAGAAGCAGCTGTGGACTTGTTGTGCTGGATTTACAAGTCCATGGTAAAGATTTCCCTTTCTTCTCAATGGGGAACCTTTGAGGACTTTGAACAGAGGAGTGGCCTGGCAGATCTAAGCTTTCGGACCAGCAGGCAAATTTTCTTTCTAGGGGGTTTGGGGGGATACAAACCTCACAGCTTTTTTCCTTCTTCAGCTCTTTTCTCTCGGGTGGCTGATAAGACCCAGGGAGAACGTTGTGAGTATGAAATGACCCATGGGTCTCTGACAACAGAATCCCAGGTATGTTGGAGTTTTCTGTCACTTCCTTGGAATTGTTTCTCAGCTTTTAAGAACCCTGGACTTTGATATTTTTGACTCAGCCTGCTGGACTGGATTTTCTTAGCCCATTTGAAACCAGGATGAATTGACTGATTTCACAGGTAATTTTACCACTGCTAGTGACCTTCCTCAGGAACCCTCTTGAGTCTAGCAAACTTCTAGCCATTTGTCCAATAAAGTTAAAGCTCATGCTGGTGTGCACATGAATGTAAAAGTTTGTGATGGAGTTCTTGCCCTTAAACCTCATGGATGTCATCTGCTGGAAAGAAAATATCATAAAATATTTTAAGCAACTTTTAAAAATTAACAGGATGTGGCTCTGATATTCTTAGAGGTGTATATACTTCATTAATGACCATTAAGAGTGTTTTGGGTCATGTCCTGGAGCAGAACTGTGAAAGAAAAAAAAATGAGTAAGGAAGCTACTGGCAGGTCATGAAGGACACAAATTAAATAGGCTGAGCAGAAAAGGAAAAGAAACTTCCAAGAGCAGTTTAACAGTGTCTGTACCATAAATGAGCTAATCAGAAGATCAGTGGCACTGGCAGCTGACAAAGCTCTGTGCTGCCAAACCCCAGAATCATAGGGAAACTCAGGAAAATTCTAGAGTAATCAAAGATGACTTCAAAAAGGACTTATATAGAAGAAGATATTATTAGAGAACAGAAAAGTTTTAAAGTGGAATGATGGTAATTTCCAAAATCACTTGGTACAGGATTTAATACTATGTCTTTAGCATTTCTCAAATTCGGTTTTCTCATTGATTAAATATGGATGCTCTTGTTGACCATGCAGGCCTGAAATGCATTCCAGAATTATTTATAATACATAAAATGTCTCCATACTTAAAGAATACTTTGGTATTATCTTAGCCCTCTGGCTTCCGGGTTCTCTTTGCATTTGGTAATACTTTATTTTATTTTATTTTATTTTGATATCATTAATATACAGTTACTTGAACAACATTATGGTTACTAGACTCCCCCTATTATCAAGTCCCCCCGACATACCCCATTACAGTCACTGTCCATCAGCGCAGTAAGATGCTATAGAATCATTACTTGTCTTCTCTGTATATACTGCCTTTCCCGTGTCCCCCACCCCCACATTATGTAATGGCTAATCGTAATGTCCCGTTTTCCCCCCTATCCCTCCCTTCCCACCCATCCTCCCCAGTCCCTTTCCCTTTGGTAACTGTTAGTCCATTCTTGGGTTCTGTGAGTCTGCTGCTATTTTGTTCCTTCAGTTTTTTCTTTGTTGTTATACTCCATAGATGAGTGAAATCATTTGATACTTGTCTTTCTCCACCTGGCTTATTTCACTGAGCATAATACCCTCTAGCTCCATCCATGTTGTTGCAAATGGTAGGATTTGTTTTCTTCTTATGGCTGAATAATATTCCATTGTGTATATGTACCACATCTTCTTTATCCATTCGTCTACTGATGGACACTTAGGTTGCTTCCATTTCTTGGCTATTGTAAATAGTGCTGCAATAAACACAGGAGTGCATATGTCTTTTTCAAACTGGGCTGCTACATTCTTAGGGTAAATTCCTAGGAGTGGAATTCCTAAGTCAAATGGTATTTCTATTTTTAGTTTTTTTGAGGAACCTCCATACTGCTTTCCACAATGGTTGAACTAGTTTACATTCCCACCAGCAGTGTAGGAAGGTTCCCCTTTCTCCACATCCTCGCCAACATTTGTTGTTGTTTGTCTTTTGGATATTGGCCATCCTAGCTGGTGTGAGGTGATATCTCATTGTGGTTTTAATTTGCATTTCTCTGATGATTAGCATTGTGGAGCATCTTTTCATGTGCCTGTTGGCCATCTGAATTTCTTCTTTGGAGAAGTGTCTGTTCAGCTCCTCTGCCCATTTTTTAATTGGATTATTTGCTTTTTGTTTGTTGAGGTGCATGAGCTCTTTATATAATTTGAATGTCAACCCCTTATCAGATATGTCATTTATGAATATATTCTCCCATAGCATTTGGTAATACTTTAAAAAAACTATCAAATGGTTAATTTGTGTAAATCATACATAACAGACTCTTGTGCTTCAGAACACAGAGTCTGCTTTGGTCAAGGCATCTTCCTTGCTAGACAGAATTCATGCTGCCTCCAAAAACATGCATGAATATACCAAAACTACCCACCTAAGGATATTTTACCCATGCTGAAATGTTCTCATTTTAGCCAAGTCTTTCAGCCCAGCAAAGGTCCCTATCTTCTTTTGGCCTTAGCTCCTTTTGAACACTCCCCTTTCTCTAATATTCCTGATCTTTATTGTCCTTAATGTAAATTATTATATGGTGTTCTGTGACCACCTTTAATATTTCATGAGTATCTTGCCTTCAGCCAAATTGTAAGTTGCAGAATACAGCTTACCTGGTCTCTATGTTGTTTTGTAACCTCCAGCAGATTGTCAACCAAACAGTTTTCAAGAGAGTGTCCAGGAAGCTTGGACACTAGACTCTCTTGGCATTTAGGCAAGGTTCAAACAACTTCCTGAACTCTAACTGGAAAGGGACACATTTGATGTTCTAGGAATTGTTGACCTTCAAGGACATATCTGTGGACTTCACTGAGGAGGAGTGGGGACAACTGGCCCCTGTTGACCGGAATCTGTACCAGGAGGTGATGCTGGAGAACTATGGGAACCTAGTCTCAGTGGGTAAGGATGGCACCCCTAGTAACTAGAACCTGCCTATTGGAAGAGAGCCTCTTTCTAAGTTAAGTGGTATGTTTGGGTTTTGGGTTATGTGTTAGAGGCTTCTAGTTCCTTCTGAACAGCAAGTCAGGATTGCTGTGGCCTTTTCTGCCCTGACTTTATCCTCTTACCCTTCAGAAGGCCTGAATACCAAAGAGCTAATTCGTGGATGGCTCTTTAACCTCAGCACTTGTAGTTTTTTCTTTTACATGAGCAGGGTATCAGCTTTCCAAACCTGGTGTGATTTCTCAGTTGGAGAAAGGAGAAGAACCATGGCTAATTGAGAGAGATATTTCAGGAGGTCCAAGTTCAGGTAAGGTGGGGTCTTTGTCATGTTTGCCAGAGAGTTCTACTCAGAGACTCTCCAGGCTGTGGGGAAGACTGAAGCTACCTGGATGGGACCACGAGGCACCTGATTACCACTCTGTTACCCACTTCCTGCACTTGCCTCTTCTCGTTAGTTTCTCTGGAGTCAGGGGAAGAGATGCCTTTCTTAGCAGGGTAGCCTTCTTCACCATTTCTCCTGACCTGACTTTCATGGTTTTCTTCCTTTCTCCAGCATTCCAAACCTTACCCTGATCATAGTTTCTTTCTCCTGTATGTTCAGATATTCATGGGTCTCTCCTCATTAAGTATGACACCCTGCACCAGCTTCTCGTATGTAATTTTGTCATGGATTTCACTTTCTCTCATTATTTCATTTAAAATTTAAATCTTATTCTGTAGTCATAACTTCAATTCTGATTTTCTTTTTAACTTGTCTAATTGACTTTTAATTTCAGATTATTTGTGACTCCTTGAGAAATCACCATAGAATTCCTTCTTATCAAACCTGGTGGCTTTTAACAGTCTTCTTCAGCTTTTAAGAACAGTAGTAATGATAGCTGTTTACAAGCTTCTCTGTGAGTCCTGTGCTTACCTTAGCCCCATCTGACACATGAGGAAAAGAAAGCCTATCGGTTAAAAAATTTGTACAGGGTCACTCGGCTACTACTTGGTGGAGTCAGTATTTGAATTCTAATCATTCTGACTCTGTAATTTGTGTCCTTATGGTGCTATTCTACATGGCATCGTAAGGTTATATAGACCTAGCCACTTCTTAGTATCCTTTCCTCCACCAGCTAGTTTAGTAATTTTTGTGTCCTCTGTATCTCTGCTGTGTTTTCAGTGCTTCTCACCAATATCCTTTTTAATGCAGATATATCATTTCTGCCTTCATTAGGATAGGCTAAACTATTAAAGTAAACAGACTCTAAAATTGGGCTCAAACAGAACAGGAATTTCTTGCTCATATACTGGTCTGGGGGAATTGTTTAGTTCAATGGACAGTTCTTTTCCACTTGGCGAATCTGGGACTGAGATTCCACTTCCTTCTGGTGGCTCCATCATCCCCTAGGACCTCCTCATCATCCAGATTCAGCCATCAGTAGAGTAAGGAGTCAGAGTTGCTCATATAGGAGGTTTCTATGGGCCAACCTGGAGTGGTTCACATCACTTGCAATCTTATTTGATTAAAGAGGAGACCTTTATCACTTCACTCAATCAAATTCAAGAAGACTGGGAAAAATAGTGCAGTTTTATGTCCAAAAATGGGGAGAAAAGATTTCAGTGAACAGCCATCTCTGCCACAATCCCCAAGGAACCTCTATCCTTTATGCTATTATTCTATTTCTGTACAAACTCCTACAAATGCATTATCAAGGTTTCGACAATCCCTTTGACAACCATATTCTCCATATTTTCACCTTTGTCTTCGATATCCCTATGGACTCTATTCCTACATGTTCTTGGTGTTTAGGACATCTCTATAGATGTATTTGTTGTCACTTCAAACCCAGTACATCCAAAATCAGAAGCTGTCTTCTCTTGTAAACAAATCTCTCATCCTGACTCCTATTCTTCCAGTCTCAAAGTCTAGAAATCATGGTATCAACAACAATGTATCATATTTCCCACTCAGTGTTTCCCTCATTCCCCATGGTTCTTCTCTGACATTTCTTGCCATACCCACTTCTGGTCTTCATCTCTGTTGATGCAGTACTAAGCCAACTTCCTATCATCTCATTCCTATTACTATAATTTATAGTCTTACTTTCTTTTTCTGAATCATTTTGCATGTTATTGCCAAATCTGACCACTTGAAAGATGACATTTTTCTTTAGAAGGCCTGAATACCAAAGAGCTAATTCGTGGATGGCTCTTTAACCTCAGCACTTGTAGTTTTTTCTTTTACATGAGCAGGGTATCAGCTTTCCAAACCTGGTGTGATTTCTCAGTTGGAGAAAGGAGAAGAACCATGGCTAATTGAGAGAGATATTTCAGGAGGTCCAAGTTCAGGTAAGGTGGGGTCTTTGTCATGTTTGCCAGAGAGTTCTACTCAGAGACTCTCCAGGCTGTGGGGAAGACTGAAGCTACCTGGATGGGACCACGAGGCACCTGATTACCACTCTGTTACCCACTTCCTGCACTTGCCTCTTCTCGTTAGTTTCTCTGGAGTCAGGGGAAGAGATGCCTTTCTTAGCAGGGTAGCCTTCTTCACCATTTCTCCTGACCTGACTTTCATGGTTTTCTTCCTTTCTCCAGCATTCCAAACCTTACCCTGATCATAGTTTCTTTCTCCTGTATGTTCAGATATTCATGGGTCTCTCCTCATTAAGTATGACACCCTGCACCAGCTTCTCGTATGTAATTTTGTCATGGATTTCACTTTCTCTCATTATTTCATTTAAAATTTAAATCTTATTCTGTAGTCATAACTTCAATTCTGATTTTCTTTTTAACTTGTCTAATTGACTTTTAATTTCAGATTATTTGTGACTCCTTGAGAAATCACCATAGAATTCCTTCTTATCAAACCTGGTGGCTTTTAACAGTCTTCTTCAGCTTTTAAGAACAGTAGTAATGATAGCTGTTTACAAGCTTCTCTGTGAGTCCTGTGCTTACCTTAGCCCCATCTGACACATGAGGAAAAGAAAGCCTATCGGTTAAAAAATTTGTACAGGGTCACTCGGCTACTACTTGGTGGAGTCAGTATTTGAATTCTAATCATTCTGACTCTGTAATTTGTGTCCTTATGGTGCTATTCTACATGGCATCGTAAGGTTATATAGACCTAGCCACTTCTTAGTATCCTTTCCTCCACCAGCTAGTTTAGTAATTTTTGTGTCCTCTGTATCTCTGCTGTGTTTTCAGTGCTTCTCACCAATATCCTTTTTAATGCAGATATATCATTTCTGCCTTCATTAGGATAGGCTAAACTATTAAAGTAAACAGACTCTAAAATTGGGCTCAAACAGAACAGGAATTTCTTGCTCATATACTGGTCTGGGGGAATTGTTTAGTTCAATGGACAGTTCTTTTCCACTTGGCGAATCTGGGACTGAGATTCCACTTCCTTCTGGTGGCTCCATCATCCCCTAGGACCTCCTCATCATCCAGATTCAGCCATCAGTAGAGTAAGGAGTCAGAGTTGCTCATATAGGAGGTTTCTATGGGCCAACCTGGAGTGGTTCACATCACTTGCAATCTTATTTGATTAAAGAGGAGACCTTTATCACTTCACTCAATCAAATTCAAGAAGACTGGGAAAAATAGTGCAGTTTTATGTCCAAAAATGGGGAGAAAAGATTTCAGTGAACAGCCATCTCTGCCACAATCCCCAAGGAACCTCTATCCTTTATGCTATTATTCTATTTCTGTACAAACTCCTACAAATGCATTATCAAGGTTTCGACAATCCCTTTGACAACCATATTCTCCATATTTTCACCTTTGTCTTCGATATCCCTATGGACTCTATTCCTACATGTTCTTGGTGTTTAGGACATCTCTATAGATGTATTTGTTGTCACTTCAAACCCAGTACATCCAAAATCAGAAGCTGTCTTCTCTTGTAAACAAATCTCTCATCCTGACTCCTATTCTTCCAGTCTCAAAGTCTAGAAATCATGGTATCAACAACAATGTATCATATTTCCCACTCAGTGTTTCCCTCATTCCCCATGGTTCTTCTCTGACATTTCTTGCCATACCCACTTCTGGTCTTCATCTCTGTTGATGCAGTACTAAGCCAACTTCCTATCATCTCATTCCTATTACTATAATTTATAGTCTTACTTTCTTTTTCTGAATCATTTTGCATGTTATTGCCAAATCTGACCACTTGAAAGATGACATTTTTCTTGTTCTTACCCTAAAAAGAAGTTAAGTGACTCTCTATTCCCTGTGGTAAGTAATCAAAACATCTCTACTTGATTTTTAAATTCATTCCAAAATTTATCCAGCTGTTATTGAGCACTTTGTATGTGATGTTACTAAAGTGAGGTTAGAAATTCTGGGGAATAATATTTTGCTGTGAACAGGAAATATTGGTGCTTTAGGATGGCAGGGTCCAGAATGGATGGACAGGAATAGAAAGAGGAAATATCAGGGAAAATTCCTCATCTGAAAATGCTGGGCTATGTATACTATGGACAAGATACATATTCTCTATTCTTAAAGATTTTACAATATAGTTAATACTGTGTCACAAATTAAGAAACCATTTTTCACCTCTTATATAGGCAAACATTATGAAGATTGATAAAAATCCAGTGAGTTTGCAGGGAAAAGCACCCATATTCACTGAGAGCACACATCCCACAACCCAAGTCCTCTTCAGTAAATCCTATGAAATACTGACAGAAGTGTATGCAAATTTATGTGTAATTAATGATAAAGTGGAAATTTGGAGACAACCTAAATATTTTTCCTTAGGAAAAAGTCAATATGATATGTCCGTAAAGTTGAATTCAATGCAGTTGTTAAAAACAATAAGGTAAATCTCAATGTATAGACATGGAAAGGGGCCCATAAGATATAGTTGAGTTAAAGAACAAAACACATGCAGAACTGTTTATATACCTTGATCCTTTTTGTGTTTGTGCAAATGTATATTTATGATGATATATACATTAAAGCACAAATATATATTGTTGGGAAATGTCTAAATGGAGCATTCCAAAATCCTAAGAGACTGAAGGGAATGAGGATGAGATTGAGAGAGGCCATTCCTTTATGGTGAAAGCATTCCTATATTATTTAATGTTTTATTTTAATGTATAAAAAGCCTGAGATAAATACTTTTTCATAGATTTTCAAAAACTTTTAATAAAAATTTTTTTTGTAGAAATATGGCCTTGAGATGATATGGTGTTAGAACCCTATCTTCCTTAATCTCTCTCTTCTTCTTACAATGATGCTCTCTTCTTAGTCCATTTCTTCCTGCAATTCACATGAACGAACTCCTCCCAATTTCTCAGTCACCTCACATACTTCTGATAGCTTCATTTCTTTGACCACTTTTTCACTTCCTTTCATTTTAGCTTTCTAGGTGGCAGGGATCACATTTGAAGGTAGTCCAAAATTCCTGTATGTAGCATATGTTATTTATTTCCCTTCTTTTTCTCACTATGGTGATTTACTTTTTGAAAGTACAGTGAATATATATTTTCTCACTATGGCCATTTACTTTTTGCAAAGTACAGTGAATATTTGTACTTTTGGATTTCTTTCAGAGTTGGAGAGCAAAATAGAAACCAAAGAGTCAACGTTCAAGAATGATATTTCATGGGAAGAATTACACCATAGCCTGAAGATGGAAAGAGGAGACACCTTGTATTCGAAATTGGGAAGAGTTTCCAAAAGTGCTAAGTTAAAAAGCCATCTGGAAAATCAAGGAATGGGTGAGGGGCAAATCTCCTTGACCCACAAGAAAACACTCATGCAGGAGAGAGGCCAAGAATCTAATAGATTTGAGAAAAGTTTTAACATGAGCTCAAAAGTTATTATAAGACCAGTTGGTTCTCCAAGAAAAAGAGACCATAAGTATGACATGTATGGAAAGAGAAGGAGATACAATTTAGATTTGATTAATCATTCAAGGAGCTATACAAGAACAAAAACCTTTGAATGTAATATTTGTGAAAAAATCTTCAAACAGCTCATTCATCTCACAGAGCACATGAGAATTCATACTGGGGAGAAACCTTTCAGATGTAAAGAATGTGGAAAAGTCTTTAGCCAGAGTTCATCCCTTATTCCACATCAGAGAATCCACACTGGTGAGAAACCCTATGAATGTAAGGAATGTGGGAAAACCTTCCGACATCCATCGTCTCTTACTCAACATGTTAGAATTCATACTGGGGAGAAGCCCTATGAATGTGGTGTATGTGAGAAAGCATTCAGCCAGAGCATTGGACTGATCCAGCATCTGAGAACTCATGTTAGAGAGAAATTTTTTACATGCAAAAACTGTGGAAAAGCATTTTTCCAAATTAGACACCTTAGGCAACATGAGATTATTCATACAGGTGTGAAACCCTTTATTTGTAATGTATGCAATAAAACCTTCAGCCATAGCATATACCTAACTCAGCACCAGAGAACTCATACTGGGGAAAGACCATATAAATGTAAGGAATGTGGGAAAGCCTTTAGCCAGAGAATACATCTTTCTATCCATCAGAGAGTACACACTGGAGTGAAACCTTACCAATGCAATCATTGTGGGAAAGCGTTTAGGCATGATTCATCTCTTGCTAAACATCAGAGAATTCATACTGGAGAAAAACCCTATGATTGTAATGAATGTGGGAAAGCCTTCAGCTGTAGTTCATCACTTATTAGACATTGCAAAACACATTTAAAAAATACTTTCAGCAATGATATGTGAAATATGTTCAACATTGAAGGGTCCTCATACTGGAACAAAAGCATCTAAATCAGTGGTTTTCTGACTTTCTGATATTAAGAACCAATAATTTTTAAATGGTTTGAATCAGTGTTTCAACTATTAATTTTTCCATATTAAAAAACTCACCTGTTATCAGCGTTGTTTTAGAAAATAAAGTATATTTTAATATTTTTAAATATACGAAGGATATCATCATAAAGAATAGCCCTTTACATTGAATTGTCAGCTTTATAAAAATCTACCAAATTTGTCTTTGTTTTTCTCATTTCACTATGGCCAATGAAAATTTCATCATGGCAAGTTAGTAATCTGTGGATTGGCTTTAAAGAATCACTGTTTTAAATATCCCTTTAATGAACCAGAATAAAGTACAGTGTAACGTTTTACTATAGCCCTTTAAATGGCTAGAAGAGGTATGAATAAAAATATTGGTTGGCTTATTTCTAGAAGAAATAATGTTAAAGTGAGCTTTCCAGAATTAATAGATAACCTACTATACACAAGATATTTATGTATATTTTATGGTTTCCTATAGAGAAGAATTGGCAAGGTTTTTCTATAAAGGGCCAGATAGTAAATATGCTAGGTATTGTAAACCATATGGTCTCTGTCCAAACTACTCAACTCATCACTTTAGTGCTATAAAGCATCCAGAGACAGTACATAAACTAGGGTATCCCAGTCTTAGTACTACTGATATTTCGGGCCAGATACTTTGTTATGGTCAGTTGTCAAAACTGGAAATTTTGACATTTTTGGTTGTCAAAGGGATAAGGGAAATTTTTGTGTCTAGCACTGTAGTCTGTTTAGCAGTTTCTCTGGCCCCAAGATGCCAGTACTAGATACAAAAATTTCCCTTACCCCTTTGACAACCAAAAATGTCTCCAGGCTTTCCTAAGTGTCTCCTGGGGTCTCAATTGGCCCTACTTGAGAACTACTGACATAAATGAATGGGCATAGCTGTATTCCAATAAAAATTTTTATTTAAAAAACAGGATTTGGATTGCATTTAGCCCAAGTGCAGTAGTTTACCACTTCTGCTATGGAGTCAGTCAATGATTAATAATGGCAAAATCCTTTAATGTCAAATTAGTATGTTTGTGTATATCTATGCCATGAGTCTTATCTCATTATGAATTCCTTTGCTATTTTGTTGAAAGAAGTTTTGAAAATCACATTTTCAATGCTGCCATGGGAGCCTAGGAATTATTTATGGAGATATTTATGCAGATTTCAGTTCATAATGATGCTTTTCTTGTTTATTTGTAAGTACTTTGGGATGTATCACTAAAAGATAAGCACTCTTTTAAAACATAACTGCAATGCTGTTTTACACCAAAGAAGATTAGGCCTTAATTCCTTAATGCAAATTGATGCCTTTTGCCTTTTGAAGATTTGAATTGAATTATGTATCCATGGTGTCAATAGAGAAAGGAGATCCCTATACTTTCCTACCTAGATTTTATAAGTGAGGAAATGTTTTTGTCTGTTTATTTTTTTTTTGCTTTGCACATGAATCAGATTAATTCACTACAACCTATATTGAGATTGGTAGCTGCCATTTCGATTATCTTTAACTTTCCCTTTGACAAACAGTATCAGATTCAAAATGTGTTTTTTATTGATTGGGGGTTCTTTAAGAAAATCATCAGAATAACACATCTACAGACCCATCCCCCCCACCAAAGAAGACCAAGGAGAAGGTGACTTCAGGGGCCATACTGAGGCAGGAAAGAGGAGGAATTGGCTCACAGTACTTCACTACACTTAATAGATCCTGCATCCTTCCAACCGTAATTGGACGTAGGTTAAATTCAACTTGATACTCTTCCATGGCAGAGCAATTCAATTGCTTGAGCATTATATATGTGAACAATCAAAATAAGCCTGTCAGTCCAGAATATGTACCATTTACCTCTTAGGTTTTTTTTCCTGTTATTACACTTACTTTTTAAAAAATAGGGCCTCTAACTCTTGAGTCCTTGTATGATTTTGATGGGTTAAAGGACAGAGCAGATACATGATGTTTCTTACATAGGTTCTGTCATGTTTCTGTGGTCTTAGATTTCCCAAGAATTTTGGTTTTCTGATGCTACTTGCAGTGACAGTTATGACTATCATTTTTCTCTACAGTCTCTGCCTTAGTGATCTCATATGATCTTATGGCTTAAAATACCATCTCTATTTAACTGCCAAATTTGTGTCTCCAGCCCAGACCTTTCTCCTGAACTCCAGCCTTGTTCATGATCAGGCTTTTGCATTAGCTGTTGTTTCAGATATCCTACAATATTACCTTCTCGTCTTTGCTCAGATGTTGCCTTTTCACTACAGCCTATCTTGCTTCTTAATATTGCAACCTTTCCCTTTCGCCCACCCCAACTCTATCACTGCCAAACCCCTTAACTTATTCCACTTTTTCTATTACATATCACCTAATGTACTAGATAATTTACATATTTATTATGCCTATTGTTTACTATCATCTCTCCATAGTAGTATATAAGTTCCATGAAGGCAGGAATCTATTTATTTTTACTGGTGTATCACAAGTGCCCAGAACAGTGCCTGGCACACAGTAGTGACTCAATAAATATTTGTTCATTTGAACTGAATTGGATTATGTATCCATGGTGTCAATAGAGAAAGGAGATCCCTATACTTTCCTACCTAGATTTTATAAGTGAGGAAATGTTTTTGTCTTTTTTTTTTTTTTGCTTTGCACATGGATCAGAATTAATAGGCCTGTAAGAACTATGAATCATAACTGACATACTTCTTAAGATAGGGTATTTTTAAGTTAATTTGCTAGAAATGCAGCTAAATATGGCTGATGAGCTATATGAGTTTATCTCTGTTCTGTAAACATGAGTTTATAAAGAACTAGGGGAGGATAAAAGACAATACAACATGAAGAGAATACAGCAGCAGACAGGACATGTCAACATTTTTGGTAGTAAGAAAACAAAAGTGGTAACTGATTTAGCAGAGTCTACAGAAAAGTATATGGCCAAGAAGAGGTTCCCAGGAAGGCTGAGGTCTTGCAGACACTGGAAATTTTGGAAGAAAAAAGGGCTGAAACAGGATTGGTTGAAGTTCTGTACTACTAACATTCCTGAGGTCCCCTCAGCTTCCCCATACAGCAGGCTGCTACACACACATTGCTCTCTCTTGGGCCTTTCTCCATTCCATTACCACCTTTCCTTATCCCAAAGGAGATTAGGAGTTAGTTCTCTGGAGAGCAGCCAGAGCTGATGTGGAATCAGGGACACCAGCCACAGTAGAACTACAGGTAAGAGGCAGGGCTAAAATAGAGCCTAAGGTTGCATCCTGAGCTGTAGGGCTCTCAGTACCCTTTCCCACTGAAAACCAGGCTTTCACCCCTTCAACAGTCCTCACCCCCCACTGCAGCACAAGGTGGGAGGAGTCTTCTCCAGAGAAACTGAAGGATCCAAAGAAAAGGCACTGCCACTGTGGCTACTTCAGTGAAAAACCAAGGCCAATCACCCAAATACCCTGCACATGCAGATTGAGCGTCCAATCTCCAGAAAGAGAAGAGAAAATGAAGGGTAGCAAATATATGCACACACAAGACAATTTTGCAGAATTGAAAGACATTAATTTAAAGATTGAAAGGCTCTTTGTACTCACCACAGTAAGCACAAACAGCTAACATTTTTCATGTACTTACAATGTGTGAGGCATTGTTTTTTTAAGTCTATACATAGTAGCTCATTTAATTCTCCCAGAAATCTCCTGAAGCGTCTAGTACTATTATCCCCATCTTACAGATGAGGAAGACATAGAGTCCAGGTTTTACAAGTGAAGGCACCAGATTGAAAATGGCAGAGCTGAGATTTGAACTCAGGCTCTCTGCCTCCAAACAGAACCCATTCCAAAGAACATCATTATGAAATAGTATTCCAGAGGAAAAGAGAATGTCCTAAAAGATTCTTGAGCAAGATGACAGGTAACTCATCTATATGGGAATCAGAAAAGAGACTACTCACAGCAATGATCAAGCAATGTCTTCAAATTTTTTAGAAAAATTACCTTCAGCCTAAAGTTCTCTGCCCAGCCAACTACCAAACAAGATGATGGGAAAATAGAGACATGTTTAGATAGCCAGGTGTTAAAATTTGTCTCTTATGCACCATTTCTTAGGAAGATGCAGGAGAATGTGCTCCACCAAAACAAGGGAGTAAGCAAAAAAAAAAAAAAGAGGTAGTCAAAGGATCCAGAGAACAGGGGCCTCCAACACAGGAGGCCCTCCCTGCCTTCCCTGCCTCCTGGAAGCACAAGGAAGAGGTCATGTGAGCACACAGTGAGATGGCAGCTGCCTCTAAGCCAAAAGAAGAAGCCTTAGAATAAGTCTACCTTGCTGGCACCTTGACCTTGGACTTCCCAGTCTCTAGAATTGTGAGAAATTAGTTTCTGTTGTTTAAGCCACCCAGTCTATGGTATTTTGTTATGGCAGCTTGAGCAGACTAATAAAATATCGTATCTACTTAAATTTCTGGATAAACTGTAGTATTCCACACTACTTCTCCCAACTCCATTGGACTTGTGTCCTCTCCCCACCCCCAGCCCCTTTCTCTCACTCTCATTTTATTAAAAGAAAAATTGAAATGCAATACTTATTCATGAGTAGTGTTTGGACTGAGGGCAGAGAACCAACCTGGACAATTCAGTACACAATACTATAGTGCTAAAACAATGTGTCACTATCTTTTATTACAAGGACAACATAGAGGACTGCTTTTGTTATTTGGAGTCCTCTTGCCTGTGCATACTTTTATTTAATCGGGATCATGTTTTAGCCACTTTTGGAATTGGATGTTTTTCACTGAATATTAGATTGTGCTCAGATCCTAAGCCTTCATGGAATGTTAAAGAGTTTGCACTCAAGAATCATAAAAATCTGAATTCAAATTCCAGCTCTACTGCACCCTAGCTTTGTGATCTTAGTCAAATTACTTATTTTTTTCTTAATCTTATTTTTCCATCTGTCAAGAGGCATTTTTAGTAGGCACCTTACAGCAAGTTTGTTATGCCAGGTACACATAACCACTCCAAAATAAACTATTAATATTGTTTTTTTTTTTACTTCATACCAAAGAGTAAACACTCATTTATGAAAACATAAATGTGTAAAGAAAATATGGCAGAAACGAGATATTACATTGTTAAAATGTTTATGTGAAAAGACAACTATTGTATGATTCCACATATATGAGGTATCTAAAGTCAAATTCATAGAAATGAAAAGTAGGGTGGTGGTTGCTAGGGCCTAGGGGGAGGGAGAAAAAGGGGAGTTTTTGTTTGATGGGTATAGAGTTTCAGATTTGTAAGATGAAAAAGCTCTGGAGATCTATTTCCCAATGTGAATATATTTAATGCTATGGAACTGTACACTTAAAACTGGTTAATATGGTACATTTTATGTCATTTTTTTTTTTACCACACACACACACAACTTTTGTAAAACGGACACACAGAGCAACACTGGAGGCAGGCAAGTCCAGAGACAAGAAAAACCATCCCAGGCCATTGGGAGAAGCCAGTTATTTGCAAGCCAAGGAACACGGTCTCAGGAGAAACCACCCCTGCTGAAATCTGTTTCCTGGACCTTTTTCAGTCTCCAGAATTGTGAGAAAATAAATTTCTGTAGTTTAAGCCTGTGGTATTTACTTATGGTGGCCCTAGCAAACGAATACACTCCTCTAAGAACATTAACCATACACATTCCTGACTTTATTTTTTAATCTTACTGCTTTCTAAGGTGGGGGTGGCGCGTTTGGTAACTGCGGTGTGCTCAGAGCCTGTAACGACGCCCTGCAGATGGTGAGCACTCAGAAGATAGCTGTTAAATGAATGACAGAAAAGGCCTCCCCTCTGGCAGAGCTGGCCGCCCACGAGGTCTCCCCGGCCACAGCCTGGAAACGCGCGGCGCGGGGCTCGGCTGCGCCAGGACAGTACGGGGTGCGCTCCGCCGCGTCCGGGTTCCGGGTTTTCGGGGCGCCCCCTTCCCTCCCGGGCGGCCCCTCGCGGGCGGAGCCCCAGCAGGGCGTGCGAGCCGCCGGAAGACGCGCCGGCGCGGGGCCGGGAGGCAGCGCGGCCGCTCCGTGTGGCCGCAGCCGGGGGCCCGCCGGGGCCGGCGCGATCGCCGGCCAGGGTGGGTCGGCAGGACCGTGGCGGCGGGCTGCGGCCCAGGAGGCGGGGCGCCGGGCTGGACCTGGCCGCTGACGCCGGCCGGCGTTAAACAGCAGCCAGCGAGGTGCCTTCGTGGCCGGGAAACCGGCCCAGGGCACCCCTTCCGTGGCGGCCGGAGCTCTAACTGCCCCCTGGGGATGCGGCTGGAAGAGGCCACGCTGGAGTGTGGCGGGTTGTTCTTAGCAGCAGCTCCCGCCCTAGGCCGGCTCTCGTGAAGAATTTGGAAAAGACCCACGTCCAGTCCTGAGGCCGAGGGTCCTCTGGGCTTCCGAAGGAAGCCTTCGTGAACGATGGGCGTTTTTTGAAGAATCATTGGGTTGAGTGGGGGGATGTGGTCTGTCTATGAAATGCTGGGAAAAAACAAAATCCGTTAACCACCGAGTCCTCGAAAGAGACACCCCGTGGAGCTGAAACCTCATGAGCCAGCGCTCTCGCGTCCCCTTCTCTGGCCCTGCCAGCGTCCGAGGCCGATCTGGTGAGTGGGAGGCCACCCTGTCTGTCTGCAGTCTCTGAGGCCGAGGGAGGCATGGCTGGGAACAGTGAGACGGGCATCTTCGAAATAAAGCTGCTCGGTCGTTAACCGTTTCCTAAGTAAGAACCGAAAGTTTCTCCACTTTGGTAACAAGACATTTACTTGTATACATTCAGGGGCAGAATATTTTCCACATGCTCCAGTCTGTGGGCTGCAGCTCCTCTCTGCATCAGTCATATTTAGGGGGTGGGGGAGAAGGAGCAGCAGCGGGTAAGCCATGCACCCTTCCTCACACACTTCAAAAAGTTGAGCCGGCTTTGTTTGCACGGAGCTAGTGTGTCCCAGATAACACTGAACCTGCTCGCCGTGGAGGCAAAGGGTTGGACGAGATGGTGGATTCGGGTTGTTCCCGGATTTTGCTATTACAAAGGGCTCTGCAGTAGACCTCATTATTCTCGAAGTCCTGTATTTCCTCCGTTTGAAAACATACCCTTTCACCCAGTTTTAACATTTCTGAAACCTGGATGCAACTTACAGACATTAAAAGGACTCGCCAGTTGCTGGGCATCTGCGTGGGTGGTGATGTCACTGTTTACCCATGTGAGAATGCAGCTGTGTGATTATTCCATCATTTGAGATACCTGAAACGAACTTTTAAATTTAGATATCTAATTGTTTTTTTAAATAACTTCAAAAGATAATGCTATGTTACAGCTTAAAAAATAAAGGTTTATAATAATGTTTTTAAGGGTTTAATGTGTCCCCAACATTGTCTCAATTAATAAACATTGCAACCTTATGAGGTACAATTATTATCCCTTTTATAGATGAAGAAACTGAAGCTAAGTGCCTTAGAGCTTTTACGTGCCAGGATTCTAATCCATGCTTTCTGATTTCAAAGCTTGCCCTCTTAATTCCTGTTAAAAGAAAGCCACAAACTCAAGAGTTAGTCACTTGTGCTGGGCCAGGTCTCCAAACTGGGGCCTAATACCTGGGCCCAAAATGTAGTCATGACAATCAGGA